ACAGAAAAGCAACATTATTCCAGCTTCAGTGCTGAGCTGTGAGCTGGTGTGATGGCTCAATGATACCCTTAGGTAGCTAGGCCCATCCCTTCTTTTTCTAAGGATGAAACCACCACATCCCTAGGCTCCAGGCTTTCGTTCTCATGCCTTGTGTTTACAAGATAGTGCAACAACTCCATGCTTAAGATCTCTAGTCGAGAAAAAAGAAGAAAGAGCGAAAGAACGAAGGTTTTGCAAGTAAATCTTTGTCTTTTTATATCAAAGAGTTTGCAGTCTCAGCCACCCAAGGCAGCAAGGGAATCTAGGGGCATTGATGGGTTTAATCAGTTTCGTTACTTTTCTGAGTAAGCTTGAGGTATGTTTATTTTTTAAAAAGGAGATACGGATAGTTGGTAGGCCCGAGACAGTGGTTGTCCTGATGAGTCAGGCACTAATAAAATTATCCAATATCACTGCTGTCTCCAAAGGAAAAACCCTGATGCCCAAGTATTGAAACCAGCTGAGAAGTGCTCAATGCTCTGACACACTCTGTCATCATCATCATCATCATCATCATCATCATCATATCATCAATAACATCTTCTATATTAACAGCCTACATCACAGGAAAAGGATGAGGAAAATAATATCTGGAATTCAAGCTTGCCTCTTGATGGGAGCTGTATTAGGGGAGGTGAGATATTGGTCAGGTGAAAGCCTTGAGTAGTAGAGTCTTAACATCTTTGACAAATGTGCATATTTCATGGTGGCAGCCATGACCTATATCCCAAATTAATTTGGAACACTGAATTGCCTGGATACTCCCCAAATTGTTCTCATTCTCAGTCTGAATAATTTTGTAACACAAATTCATTTTAGAAAACAGAATTATGAGGATTTTTTCATCAACTAGACACTGCCAAAGAGGTGAAGGATAATTCTGTCTCTCAACAGATGGTAAAACCATGAGCAAAACAAACAAAACATTCTCTCTTTCCCGGATGGAATTGCTGCTGCTAACCAAACATGGTGGGGTATGATGTTGGAATCATAACAATGTCAATAAGTTTACAAAGGATCATCCATGCTGTCTTCCAGTCAGGCTATGTGAGACAACGATGCATTATGAAGAGTGAAGAGTGTGGTTGGGAATGTCTGGATGCATCTCATTTTCTTGTCTGTTTGTTTGCAAACACTCTCTTCTCACTGTGTGGCTGAATAGATTCATTTTACTGGCCTCATGAATACTCAGCCTTGACCATATGCTTCAACACATAAACGAGTGTTAACCTCTAAATAATTTGTCATCTACAGTGAGATACCTTTTCACACCCACAAAGATGGCTAGAGTAATAAAAAATCAGATAATAACAAGTGATGGAGAGGATGTGGAGGAATCAGAATGCTCATACACTGCTGGTGGGTACGCAAAATGATATGGTGGCTTTGGAAAACATTCTCACAGTTCCTCAAATTACATAAATTACTATAGCCACTACAGAGAAGAGTATGGAGTTCCTCAAAATCCTAAAAGTAGAACTACTATATGATCCAAGTATTCCACTGCTAGGGAAAGAAAGAAGTAAATAAATAAATAAATAAACAAACAAACCTGTACATCAAAAAGATATATCTGCATGCTCATGTGTACTGCAGCACTAGTCACAATAGCCAAAATATGTATTTAGCCTAAGTGCCCATTAACGGACAAATGGATAAGGAAAATGTGGTATATGTACACAATGGAATATTATCCAGCCATAAGAAGAATGACATCCTGTCATTTGCAGCCACATGGATGGAACTGGATGCCATTATGTTAAATGAAATAAGCCAGGCACAGCAAGACAAATATTGCATGTTTTCACTCATCTACGGGAAGTAAAAATGTGGTTCTCATGAAGATGGCGACTATAGTGATGGTTACCAGAGGCCCGAAGGGGAAGAGGGGGATGAAGGGGAAATAAAAGAATATAAATGTATTTATTACCACTGAACTGCACACTTACAAGTGGTAAAGAGGGTACATTACGTATGTATATTTTACCTCAATAAAAATAAATTTCAAAAATAAAATCACTTTCTTCTTACCAGTTACTGCTGAGTTATTGTTGGAATAACGAATTAGTACTACAGGTAAGTCATGTACCTAAGTAAGTAGTAAAATAGAGACAACAAGAATAGTTCAGTGGAATGTAGAACATAGGGAATCTAGTCTGGTCAAATATAATTTTGTTGGTGTTGAGTTAATATACAAATTCTACTTAACTGGGCTTTCCCATGAAAAGCATTACATAGAAACAGCTGACAATCATTACAATACCAAGTGAACCTGATCCTGAAACTCATGTTCTTTGCAAGTCTCAATTATTGATTTTAGTTGGGATAAGAACTTAGATGGATAGGTGCTGAGAGTTATCCAGGAAAAAAAGGTACAAAGGATAACTGGAGATAATTTGAATATCTATGCGATGCCAGGAAAAAGCAAAATCCTTCCTTATCATTCTACTGTTTTGTTGGAATAATAAATTACCACAGACATCTGGTGGTAAACATTTAATCACCAACCTAAAGATAGCTAGAATTAGCCAGACCAAGTAATTGATACCAGGAAGCTGAAGATAACTGGCTTATGCCAGGGAGTTGAATAACTATTTTCCTCAATGCAAAATTCCAACCTCATGTTAGAAATATTGCCTCATACAATAGATATCTACTTTATCCAAGTGAGTAATTAACTAGAGATAACTAGATGAAGCCAGTACTTGAAATAAACAAATTCTTTTCAACACTACTTCTTATGTCTTAGTGACATAAAACTAGACGTTTAGTGGTACCTAGGCAAACAGTTGAATAAACAACTAACAATTAGTAGGAAAACTGGTTGAACATAGAAAGTTTAGTAACCATTCTAGTCAACTCTGTGTTCTTATGTTTATAGGATTGTTGACTAGGTACTATGGATATGGTAACTAGAGTTACCTGGGTAAGAGTTAAACACAGAATCCTCCATAAAACAGAATAACTGGTTGAAGACAAAAAGTATAACATTGCATTCTCCTCGACATTTCTCATTTCTTGTTGGAATAATGAGTTAGTTCTATCAATGGGTAGTAGTACCTAGGTTATTACAAAGCAAGAAATAAGAAGAGATGGCTAGAATAAATATTTGATACCAGAATGGTGAAAAAAACATTCTTTGCAAATAGAAACTCTAATTTCCTGTGTGATTAATGAGTTAGAATAAGTTAGTAGTGGAGATATCTCTGTGAGATGTGGATTTCACTTTGGGGATGTGATACATACTCAACAGATGAACTGCTGGGTCATATGGTAGATCTTTTTTGATTTTCCAAGGAACCATTATACTATTTTTCGTAACGGCTGTACCAATTACATGTCTGTCAACAGCGTGTAAAGGTCCCCTTTTCTGCACACCCTAAAAGGGTTTCATTTTCTCCACACCTTTGCTATAATTACCTTTCATCTCTTGACTTTTTGATAATAGTCGTCCTAACAGGTGTGAGGTGATAGTTCATTGCGGTTTTCATTTGCGTTCTCTGATTATTAATGACGTTGAGCACATTTTCATACACCTGTCAGCCAGTTGTGGGTTTTCTTTCAAGAAATGCCTATTCAAGTCCTTTGCCTATTTGTTAACCAGACTATTTATTTGTTATTGAGCTGTGTGAATTCTTTATATATTTTGGATATTAACTCATTATTAGATGTATGGTTCACAATTGTTTCTCCCAAACCATAGCCTGCCTTTTCATTTTGTTGACTGTGCAGAAGCTTTTAGTTTCCAGGCTGCTCACTTACCCTACATATTTCAGCTTCCTAGACCCCCACAGTGCGTGAATGTGTGAGCCAATTGTTTAACGCATATCATATATATAACATTATTCGTAAATAAATACCATACAATAGCAAATAGATGTTTATGACATATATTACACACACACACACACACATGCACACACACAAATATCCTATTGGCTTAGTTTCTCCTTCTCTGAGGAACCCAGCTTGATACAGACCCAGCTGAGCGAGTGTGTTTGCTGATCTTCACCGCCTGAAGCCAGTGCTTTAAACCATGAGAATGAAACATTGAGGGGCACTATGTGGACGGTGGGAAAAGGAAATGAGATGGAAAAGTTCTTTGATCGCATCCAAGAAGTGAATGGTCCTCAAAGTGCAGCAGAGGAATTTGTAGGAGAGAGGGATGACTGATGGACAGTTTTTTTTTTTTTTTCCTTGAGGCAGACTTTTGTTCTTGTTGCCCAGGCTGGAGTGCAATGGCGCTATCTCGGCTCACTGCAACCTCCGCCTCCCGGGTTCAAGCAATTCTCCTGCCTCAGCCTCCAGAGTAGCTGGGATTATAGGCATGCGCCACCACGCCCGACTAATTTTGTGTTTTCAGTAGAGATGGGGTTTCTCCAGGTTGGTCAGGCTGATCTCAAACTCCCGAACTCAGGTGATCCGCCCTCCTCGGTCTCCCAAAGTGCTGGGATTACAGGCTTGAGCCACTGTGCCTGGTCAATTGACATCTTCGTATAGCCCGCAACCCGTCCCAGTTAACATGGAGGGATTTTAGGTAGGTGATACAGAAACTGGGTAATGATGGCAGGTGTGGAGAAATAGAATGTACCACTGAGTGGGGGGGTCCAGGGGAACCATATGGCAGAAATACCCTCCCGTGCCACGTGATCTGCCAAAATTGAACATGGGGCGTTTAGGAGGGGTGCCATGTCAGTTTGGGAACTATCCTTAGGCGTGCTAACCCCAATCTCCCTTTCTCCAACCAGCGCACCCTGCCTTCCTCCTCAGATGTCACTCCCCGCCACCTCCCTCAGTCAGGTCGTGCTGGTGCTTTGTGACGTCAAAGGCCTCCCTTCCCGCCCAGGGCTCCCATTGGCTGGGTAGTGGGGTGTTGACCAATCACAGCTCAGGGACGTGGTCGCCTCATTGTCCCGAGACTGCGGGAGGGGTATATACGGGGACCCCAGGCAGCCCGCGGGTGACCGTTGGGAGACGTTGAGCTGTGGAAGATGAGTCCGAAGCCGAGAGCCTCGGGATCCCCGGCCAAGACCACGGAGAGCCGAAAGAGGAAGTCCTCTTCTCAGCAGAGCTGCAGTAGCCCGAAGAAGAAGGTGAGGGACCCACCCAAGCTCCTCCTCGGCTTCCCCTCGCCTCCTTCCTCCCCAGAATCCTCTCCCAGCCTCCCCTGGCACATCCCCCCAACCCGGCCCGCCGGCCTCTGAGGAAACGTCCCTGTTCCCAGCCTCCTCCATCCTCTTCCCTCAACCAGAGCCCTTCTGGCATCTCCCTGTTGTCCTTCCAGGCTACCAGAGCAACCAAGAAGGGAAAAGCAGCTCGTGGAGGGAGACGCGGGAAGAAACGGGCCGCGAGCAAGATGGCGGCGGCGGCGACGGCCCCTGAGGCGGGGAGCGGGCCAGCGGCCCCCGGCCCCAGTGACCAGCCCAGCCAGGAGCTCCCTCAGCATGAGCTGCCCCCCGAGGAGCCAGTGAGCGAGGGGACCCAGGACGACCCCCTGAGCCAGGAGACCCAGCTGGAGGAGCCGCTGAGTGAGGGGGCGGCCACCGACTACCCCATCTGGCTGAGCAGCGACTAAGTTCAGTTCCAGTCGCCAGACCTCAGAGATCTCACCAGCACGGTGGCCCCTGGTGAAGACAATAAAATGAATGTGTTGCAAAATGATCTCAGTGACTCTGTGTTCTCTGATGGTGGGGAGGGGGGGAAGGAGGGGGGAAGAGGTGGGGGGTGGGGAGGGAGGGAGGGAGGAAGAGGTGGTGTGAGGGGAGGGAGGGAGGGAGGAAGAGGTGGGGTGTGGGGAGGGAGGGAAGAAGAGGAAGTGTGAGGGGAGGGAGGGAGGGAGGAAGTGGTGGTGTGAGGGGAGGGAGGGAGGAAGGGAGGAAGAGGTGGTGTGTGGGGAGGGAGGGAGGGAGGAAGAGGTGGGGTGTGGGGAGGGAGGGAGGAAAGAAGGAAGGAATAGGTGGTATGTGGGGGAGGGAGGGAAGTGGGGTCCCGCGGGGTTGAGGTCAAAGGGACATGTCACAGTTAGCCAGACAGGAGGATAAGGATTCCGTCACGGCTGAGAACCGGAAACAAATTTCCCCTTCACGGGATGACTCCGCTTCTTGTAAGGTTTGTTTCTTCATGCAATCTTGCTGGCACGTACACCAAGTACCAAGAACTGGATTCTACCTACTTAGGTTTCATTGTTAAAATACCTTTTCGTTTATAGAAACCGATGCAAGAATCATCTCCATCCTCTTTCCTTTCAGCGTCCCCTCCCTACAATCTAATATGATTAAGAAGAAAAATTCAAAGTAGAGCAAAATCTGTCTACTTGAAAAAAGCCTTTTTATTTTTGCAACTGAGGAGACAAAAAGTACATTTCATATTTCCATACATCAGAAATACACAGGTCTTTTCTATATATAGTAGAATTTACTGTACAAAACGTATTTAAATATATGTAAATAAAATACAATATACAACTATATTTACTATATACAAACCTATATAGATTATATATATTTATATATAAAATATATAAATACGAATATAGAAATATGGATTATATATTTATATAATATATAAATGTATATAGATTATATATACACATGTTCAAAATACATAGGTCTTTTGTATATGTACTAGAACCTACTATACATATTTATATATTTATATGTATTTTTATGCTTTATGTAGAATACAGATATTTATATATAAATATATATTTTATGTATAAATACCTATATAAAACATATATTTATATATTATATATAATCATTTGTTTTAGAAGGTAAGGCGTTAGTATTTTTCAAGCATGGTTCTCAGGCAAAAGGAGAAAGGAAATTCTCACTTTAAGAAGAAAAGAGTACAAAATTATCACAATTTAATTTCCAGTTGTTAATAATTACACAGACAGAATAACTCATGCCCTTTAATCTTATAATGAATAACATGTTAAACTTTTATGTGATTATGAAAATACGAATTTCCCATATGATAAGCGTTTGAGATGTAAAGCACTAACTTTACAGGCAGTTTTCACTTGTTACACAGATTGTTCTTATATCTTTAAAGATGTTAAAATTAATGGTGGCTTAGAAGAGATAGTAGCATCATTTGAGAAACAACAGATGAATTCTGTTTCATCCCTTCCTTGGTGCAGTCAGGGCTTCACTTCATTAGCTTAGGAAGAGATTTCAGAGCTTTGCATGTTGAACTTGTAGCTGCCTCCTATGGAATCCTATGAAACCTAGGATGCAGAAATAGGGCATTGCCCCATGTCCTGAACGCCATCATTTTGTGGTGTATTTCTTTTGTATTTCTTATATGGAAATACCATATAAAGATGAGCATGCTTGGTATAACTCAAAGCCTGTTTATTTGCAAGGCTGTATAGACCCTGACCAATAAATATTTGTATGTTATGGATGGGAACAAGTCCGCATGAAAAGCTCCTGCTGTCTTTTAGGAAAGCCTGTTGGCTGTGGTTGTATATCTCTTTCCAAAGGGCAATTGGTGAACTTTCTGCTATAGTTTTTTCCATAATGACAGCATAAAAGCTGAAGTAAACTGATCTTGTCAGTGGTCACTTTTGGGTTTGGTGTATATTAGGGAACAAGTTTGCAATGTGTTTCAAAATTACATTCAAGAATTAATGTTGTGCACCTTATTTTAATGCCATATTTCCATTCAAGCTCTGCAAGCCAAAACAGTCTGTGATGATTCTTTTGGCATTGAAAAAATTATCCATGACACTTAAATCGTGTTTCTTTCATCATTTCATGGCAATAGGAGCTTCAACTGCTATTTGTTGGGAACCCATCCTGACTAGCTCTTTCACTGGGGCTTCATGTTTTATTGTGATGATTGGCAGACCTGTGTTTCAGGCATTTTCAGCTTTGGAAAGTTATTATGATTTTGAAATTATAAATGCAAAAATATCAGTGAATTTATTTTCACAAACTGTTTTAATTCATTATAGACAGTGATTTAATCAGAAATCAATAATTTAAATAATCTTTTAATTTGTTGGAACATTCACAAATACTACATCTTCCTTTAAGTCTTTCTTGATTCTACATGTTAAATACACAGTTAAATTAGTTAATAAGAGTGTTAAATATTTTCCCTCCTTCTCCAACTACCCACAAGCTGAGGCTTAAAGTAAACAGTGGAATGAGTAAAGACCCGAAGTAATATAACAGCAAAGCTGTAGTTGGCTTTTATAATAAAATAATAGATATCAAAGCTTTCTGATGTTTTTAGGCAAATCTTCCTGTGTCCCTAAAGGGAGGATCCCTTTGACAACAGTCATGAACAACAGGTGATCTGCAGATTCTCAGCTGTCAAAGACAGTTGGTGAGAAAATTTGAAAACACCTTGTACATACTAAAGAGCTCAGCATGAGATGATGTCTACATACATATGTCTGTCTCATTAGACCACAGGAAATAGGACACATGGCAGGAAGGCTCACGTCGATTCCCCTTGACCATGCAGCTTCCTCTGCTCCTGACTCCTAAGAACTTTCTGACCCATTGGTCATTCCCAGCTTCAGATCCCTACACGTATGAATTTTCTTTGGCCCCATGTCAGTGATACACGGGACATAGAATTGCTCTCAAAAACACTCTGGAATTGAAAAATGACAGGAGAAGCTCAATGCGATGGCCGGGTACCAGAGGGAAGGCCTTCCACTGTTTTGAACACTGATGCCAAGTTCTAGAATAACTGCAGCTGCAGCCCATTGGACCTGGGCATGTGTCAGGCAGGGTGTGAAATGCTCCCCATGCACGTCCTCATTTCTCCCTCACATTACCCCTGTGGATTAATCGGGGCTCTAGAGAGACACCAACAGGTGATCAGCAAAGATAGATGAGAGGGGATTTATTAGGGGAATTAGGGGGTGAAAAGTCTCGGGGCAGGCTGTCTGCAAGCTGGAGCCCCTGGGATGCCAGGAGTGTGACTCAGTCCACACCCAAAAACCTCAGAACCAGGGAAGTGGATGGTGTAATTCTCAGTATAAAAAGAGCCTGAAGTTCTGATGTCCAAGGGCAGGAAAAGAAGAGTCTCAGCTCCAGGAGAGAAAGGGAGGAAAGTGCCTTCCTCTGCCCTGTTTCCTCTATCTGGGCCCTCAGAGAACTGGATGGCACCTGTCTCTATTGAGGGCATCTTCCCCACTCTGTCCACCAGCTCACACCATTCTTCCCAGGAATACATGTGCAGGCTCACCCAGAAACAATGCTTTACCAGTTCCTGGAGTATTCCTTAAGGCAGTCAGTCACCCAGAAACAATGCTTTACCAGTTCCTGACGTATTCCTTAAGGCAGTCAGTCACGTTGACACCTGAAATTAACCATCACACCCTGTAAAATGGGTAGTGTCCCCACTGGACAAATGACACAGACAGTTTGGGTACCTTTCTTATACTGCTTATAGGTTATAGAGTCAGGATTAAAACTCAGGGCTGCAAAGATCAAATTCTAAACTCCACCCTCTTAAGGACTGCTGCTCAACGCTGTGGAAGCAGCACTGTATTAGACACTGTACGAGGACTGAAGAGGCATTCGAGACACATCCCCTGCTTTAGGGACCACTTCCTAGCTTGCATTCGTGACAGGAGTCATGTTTCTGTGACTTTACTATAGAGCCCAGAACCAAGTGTGAATTGGCACGCTTTAGGTGTGCATAAGCTCTGCAGAAATCCTAAGAAAGAGCAAGATAATTATAGGCTCAATTCACACAGGGAAGTTTTTATGAAAACAGCTTTCAGTCAATTCCTGAAAGAAAATATTTTCACTGGCAGAAAAATGTTCTGCTGGAGAATAACTAGTTGAAGGGCTTTGGCGGCAAGGGGCCCTGGACACATGTCCACAGAAGTAGGGAAAAAAGACACAGAATAGAAACAGAATTGGGGACCCTTCAGGGAGAGGAGTAAGGAAAAGTGCTAGCCCAGCAAGCTGATATGTAATTTTGAATCTTAACTAGATTGAGAATTTGGATACAACTCAAAACTAGATAAGAGTAATTGCACTAAAAAAATGCAAGGAGCAGGGTAAAATAAAATAAAAATTCTTTAATAATGAATTAAATTATTCATTCAACAAACATTTATTGGGCACCTACCATGGTCCAGGGAGAGGGATAGATGCTAATCAAAAAATAATAATCGCTGCCATGACTGAGCAATGCCTATGAGTCATCCTTAGAACGGTGCTGGAAGATAGATGGGGCTGTCTTATTCCATCCTGAGTTTACAAAAGATGACCCTGAGGACCAGCCAGGCTAAGTAACCTGTTCCAGATCACCTAGTACTTGAACCGAAGCTTGTCTGACTCCAAACCCACACTTTCTCTGATACGCCATGCAGCCAGAAAAGGGCAGTGACGTACTAAGGTTTGCTAAGGTGTTGAGTGTATGGAATAAGATAATCAGGAGTATTTTTAAACTTGTGGTAAAACACACACAACACGACATACACACTCTTAACAAATGTTGAGGTGCATGGTACAGTATTGTGAACTATATGCCCATTGTGCTACAGTGGATGCTTACAACTTTCCGGGATGGTTAATATTGTCAACTTGATTGGATGGAAGGATGTAAAGTATTGTTCCTGGGTGTGTCTGTGAGCGTGTTGCCAAAGGAGATTAACAT